ATTGTTTAACAGTACATGAATGATCTGGATTTTTTTTAATGAAATTTAAAACAAATGTATTAATGCATAAAATGAACATGTACATGCATAACCGTCTTAGTATCATTGAAACTTGACACGGAGCCTGATAAATTATTAAAAGGATGACGGGGTTCCTCACTGACAAAATCTGTGTGGTCTTTGGAGACCAGGTCTTCCAACAAATGTTGGAATTCCGATGGGCACTAATTTTGTTCCCTTATTAGCCGACCTGTTTTTTTTATATTCCTATGAAGCAAAATTTATTTGAAAACTTCTACACGAGAAGAAAAAAACATACACTTGCTATAGCCTTCAACTCGACATTCGGATATATAGACGATGTTTTATCAATGTACTTCCATTTATATGTCGACTCGATATATCTCAGTGAATTCTAAATAAAAGCCACACCTGTTTCATATTTGGATGTTTTACTGACTATAGACGATAAGCGCTGACTGTCAACTAAATTGAATGACAAACGAGAATGAGATGGAATTCCAAAAGAGAAATCATCTTTACCAGTTGTCTTCAGTTTACTAGCAACAAAATGTTTTTACTCTGGATTTGCGAGTTGATTCACTTTACTGAGTGACTGCAAATAACTTAAGGAGGAGGTGACCCCCCGGTAGGAGAGATAACTCTAAAATTGATGAAACTTTCTTCTGTAAAATGTTTATCTTTAAACACGGTCGTTTTAAAGATTGCCACACACTGTAAACTTTTGCTTGAAATTCATTTTTTATCCCACCCAAAGGGTGGAATATTGTCAACGCTAGAGGAAAAATTTCCTGTCAGTAAGGAGGAGGTCATTCTTACAGAAATTAACAGTTTGAACTATTCAGCACTTATTTTACGTTTTAAAAGATGATCAATTTTGCAGTTTAATTCAAGTTTCAAAGTTTATATATCTTATAATGCATGCATCAGAAACGATTTTTTTCCCATACAGGTATATATTGCTGGATATATTTTTTAGTCTTCGTTTTTTTTTCTTTTCTTTTTTTTTTTGGTATGTTGTTTTAACGTCAATCTCGAGAATTTTTCACTCATATGGAGACGCCACCACTTGCTTGTGGAGAGCTGCAAATTTTATCTTATACTCGGCACTTACGGCCATTGAGCAGTGAGGGATCTTTTTCGTGCCAGCACCTACTGCGACACAGGACCTTGGTTTATATGGTCTCATCCGAAGGACCGGTCTCCACATCCCAGAGTGGGATTCAAACCCGCGACGTAAGGATCAACTCCTTACTCTGGGACTCTAGAGCAGACGCTCTAACCACTGCGCCACGCGGGTGACTTTTTTAGTCTTCATAAATAAATGTTAAATTATTATATTCCTTTCTAATTCTTTATGGAAAAAATTAACTTAGAACAGTTGTTGATCTTAATCTATTTGAATAAAAAATAAATTTATACAATATTTTGTGTTAAATCATACATATATAAATTTAAGATTTTCTGAACATGATTATTTATTTATGCATAAAGTTTTATATACAAGTAGTCTAGAACCAACAAACACATATATAAAAAGCAACAATATTAAAGTGATATCCGACAAAAAATCTATCTGGTTCATTGCTCCATGGTATATTTATATATTAAGGTACATGAAAAGTGTCTTAACACAATGTAACAATATTATAAAGAATATTAGAAAACTTCAGATCCCTGACTGTGCAAAAAAAAAAAAAAAAAAAAAAAACAGTAAATGTTTTTGTTTCACAACTCCATGATTTTTCACAAACTTAAAAAGTGTCCAGGAATGTATACAATGATTTAACTGATATCAGAATTATCACACACTTAAAAAGTGTCCAAAGGAATGTGTACAACGATTTACCTGATATCCGAGTTATCACAACCTAACAAAGATAATTTAAACACAAAAAACTTACAAGAATGTTATCACACAATCATAGTGCCATTTGATTGCTATCTTGATGGACAACTGAGCAATACGATTTGACAGGGTTAAATGACATTTGTCAAAATTAACACATGTACAGTGTAACCACAATATTTAAACTTTTTCCTTTGAATAATTCAACAAAAACTTTAATGAGAATTATGAACACAATTTAACTGGTCTACAGCATATTAAACAATTGCTTTGCAAAATCCCTACAAAAATACATATAAGTAATACAAGCTCTGTATATTATTTTCATCTCAGATGGCAAGCAAAAAGCTCTGAAAAATTCTGTGCAACTGCAAAAATCGAAAATCCTATCAATGTCAAGAACAGGCTATCATATGAAGGAAAAACATGTCATGTCTATATTTAAGCAAATACTGTTAATTAAAGCACATCTAACATGTAACATAAGTATATAAATGCTACAACACATTTTTTTAGAAATACAGCCATTTTCTCACATGAAGTTGATTTCTGAATACATGGTGACATCTCGAGAAGTAATAGTAGACACTATCACTTCTTAAGGAATAAGACAAGGTTGGATAATACACCACCAGACTTTTCTATTTCGGAGAGTTGAACTTCGTATTTTGCATATGTTATCTTCTCATCTAAAACCTACAATAAGTTTTATCTTCTTTAGTTTGATTTTATTAAAGAAACAGTTGGAAAACTAATAAAAATAATTTTACAAGCAATAATAACATTTCATTGGTTTATTCAACCTGCAAAAGTCATCAATGAACTCTATCTTAAAAATATAAGTTACATGCAAAACCATTTGTTAGTTTTCATTCAGAAATTAATTTTCTTTACTTAAATACCCTTCCAACACAGGCACAAAGCTCACTGATTGTGATGTCCATCTTGGTGAATGTGGAGTACCACATTTACATTTTTTTCCCCAGAAATATGTCAGTCATGCAATTTTTTTTAGTCATTTTAAATATACCTAGATCTGTCATGCAATAAATCTGCAAACAACAGTACCTTTTGTTCATAAATTTAGAGGGGAAAAATAGAAACATAGGTAATCAAAACTTATGAAGCTCATCTCGACCAATATTATCAAGGAGTGAAGCAAAGTCTCACATCAATAAAAGTTCTGGTAATGTATATTGTTAGATGAATCATTCATGCAAGTTTGGTCTAGATGGAACTTAAAGTTATTTGGGAATGGACCTGTTCCAAAAAAACTTCAACCTGGTCACTCATCTGGAAAATCAAGGTTAAATAAAGCATCTGAAGCATGTCTGCTAGTGTGCTTTTCCATATGAATCATCAATTCAAGTTTTGTCAACATAGGGGTTATAACTAATTTTATGATGGTCAGACTCTGTATCTAAAGGATGTCTGGAAGTGTGAATCTCTCAATGGATCATCCATGCAAGTTTTGTCCAGTTAGGGCTTATAGTTACTTGAAAAAGAAATTACTGCAAATAATTAAATCTGGTCACTCATCTGGAAAATGTAGATCAAATCCAGCATCTGATCCCAAGCATGTCTGGCAATGTGTATCCCTAGATGCATCATCCTGTCAAGTATGGTCAGCATAGGGCTTGTAGTTACTTGGGAATGGACCTGCTCTAAAAACTTTAACCTCGTCACTCATATACATGTAGTAAATCTACGTCAGATACAGCATCTGAAGTAAATCCGGTAGTGTACATCCACAGATGCATCTTCCATGCAAGTTTGGTCCAGGTAAGACTTGCAGTTACTTGGAAATGTACTTGCTCCAAAACATTTAACCTGGTCACTCATCTGGAAATTCTGGGTCAGATCCAGCATCCAAAGCATGTCTAGTAGTGTACATCCCTAGATGCATCATTCATTAAAGTTTAGACTAGTCCATGTAGGGCTTATAGTTACTTGGAATGGACTTGCTTGAAAACTTTAACCTGGTAATTTATCTAGAAAATCTAGTTCAGATCTAGCATCCAAAGTATGTCTGGTAATGTGCAACTCTAAGTGCATCATCCATTCACATTTGGTCAACATAGGAATCATAGTTAACCTATTTAGGAATGGACTTGCTCCAAAAACTTTAACCTTGACAACGGGGGGTATAGCGTAATTTCATTTTGACTGTCGAGGTGAGCTTAAAATGAGAATTTGAAGTCCCATAGCCAATCCCTGCATTGGCAATAAGGATTAGCTAATCCTTGCCTTGATGACAAAAATCAACTAATCCATGCCTTAGTAACAATAATACCTGTTGATGGAAGGGTGGAGATTATATGTTTGAACTCGGACACATTCATTCACAATAAACAACAGTTCTGAATGGTCCCCCCCTGTCTGAAATAGCTCTTTTTGGGAGACTGGAATGCCATCCTCTATCAATTTCTGTATAACCTATTTCAAGCCGAAAAAGATATTTCATCAAGAACCCATAGTCAAAATCAATTTGATACCACTTTTAATTGCTTGACTTCATTGCTTTTCTAATCAATTTCCTTAATATCAATATGTATATATGATGCTGTTTCACATCACTTCATTCAAATGTCAAGATTGATTTTGATCACCTAATCGTGTTTTTCAAAAAAAAAAAGCTAAAACTTTTAAATGATATTTAGGAAACGTGTGCCACATATGAACATTTATTACATTTTTAACATCGAAATACTGTAATTGAATAAAAGAGATATTTTGTCACAGTGTGAAAGAATATCAGAAGTGCTGCAAAACTCTCAACTTTCTTCCCTTCATGATGGGTGCTGTTAAAAAAAATACATGTACTCTCTGGACTGTTATAATACAGTCTGAAAGTAAATAAAGCATCCTGACACAGAAATTAAAACTGCCGAAGTTTCTCCAAATATGTTGCTGAAATATGTTTACAAGTTTTCAATCTCACAATCACTAGTAAAACAGGATTTTTAAAAAATTTTTTACTCATGCTTCACACTCAAAAAATATCAAAATATCATGTCCCACTTGTGAAATAAATTCCATATCCAACTACAAAACATTGAAATCCTCCATTTATGTTCTTAATTCGTTTCACTCAAACGAACATAAATCATTTACCATATAAAACAACGCATTATTTATAGGATAGGAGGCGAAGCACTCAGATTTATTCACACATTATAATATACATTATCAATCCTCATGTACCCTCATGTACCATCATGTATTCTCATGTACCATCATGTACCCTTATACCTCCATCCATATACATTCATCAAACTACAAAAAAAAAAATTTAAACATCAATACATTAAACAAATCAGTCAATATAAATTATAAATTGTAATAATGGGTGGGTGGGTGGGAATAATGCCAAAACGTGGAATTGATTTAGAATCTGAGCCTTCGAATGGCACATTTACACAATATTCGCCCTTCAATAACATCTCTACTTATGCGTACTTGTTACTATATAAATAGCCAATCATTGTATAAATCCAACACCCGTATCAAAACAAACCCGCCTACTTTCCCACGGGTACAAATAATGCTTAGCACCCATGATAAATACATTTATGTTCTTAATTCGTTTCACTCAAACGAACATAATTCATTTACCATATAAAACAACGCATTATTTATAGAATAGGAGGCGAAGCGCTCAGATTTCGAAAAGAATAAAGTAGAGTTAAGTTACAATAGGGCAAAATTGAATTATATACCCAGATTTTTTGAAACGCTCAATTTTTCTGACTTTGTTTCCCTTACATAACCATCTTTTGCTTTTTCACTTTTCCACCTGCCATGTTTTTTGAAAATTCTGTCATTAACTCCTGAAGCAGCTGCCGCTCTAGCGCCTCCTGACCTTAAACTGTGTAATCCAAACTTTTTCTTATCTAAACCAATATCCCCCAAGGCAGAAAGAATAATTTCCCTTGCTCTAGTATATGACAGTGGTTTGTTAGTATTTCTTAACTTAAAGGAACCGGCTTTTTTCAAGTATGTAATTTGTCTAAAAATAAACTCATCTGAGGAACTCTCTATTCCCGCTAATTCTAAATATCTTTTCAAAAAATTTACAGGACATGGTTTGGTACAAGTCTCTGCAATGCAAACATGAGAACCTTCATTATATTTGTCTGTTTTACTTTTCGGAATGAATATGGAGACATACTGATCTTGGAATGAGATATCGGATCGTCTGATGTTAACAATTTCCGAAAATCTAAGAAAACCTGAATATCCTATAAGGCAAATTGTAATGATTCGCAAATCTGGAAGACAGCTGTTTTCATTGCCATACTTTTCTGCAAGAAGAAATAAATGAAGAGGTAAAATAGGTTCCTTTTTTGTGATCGGTTTCCTGCATTCTCTCAGCACCCCTTCTTTGACCTGTGTGACTAAAGAAGAATGACATGGGTTTGAATAACCTGCTAAATTATGAGCCCATGAAATAGCACTTACAGCTTCCTCTAGTTTGGCTGACGAGCAAAAATTCTGGCCAATGTGTACCAAATACATAGAAACTGTCATATCAGTTGAAGGTAAAAGTTGAAGGTTGAAGGTAAAAATGACAAACTCGAACAATGAGAACTACACACAAAAGTTATTAAATGCATACTTATATTTCTTTCTGGTATTTTCTGCCTTTCCTTTTAGACAGTACTCCGGTAGTAGGGCAGATAGTCTATTCAGCTCTGGGTTGTCGTACGATCTGTTTTCTGCCCACCTTCCCTTGCGGAATATATCTGTAAAACGCATAATTGAAAACATCTATTAAAAAAATATCACTACCTACATGTATATGCATCGAAATATACACACATTTCATTATTCATGACCTCCGTATATAATGTTATTCATATAAAACTTCTGCAATATGCCTCTAGCATATCAGGACCCGATACCACTTATAAGATTAACGCATCTTCCAATAAATCTCTCTTGACAACTAATCATACAATATATACGTTTATAAAAACATCTGCAATGCACCGCATGCACCAGGACCAATAATATGTTAAACCTTCTGCAATGTGCCCTTGCACATCAGGTCCCATTTCACATTCTTGCATCTAATCTGATTGTCAAAACTTTTGAATAAAAATCCAGAGAACCAAAAATAGAATTCTTATTATCTCCTTGTTTAAAAATTCTGTAACCTTCACGAAACTCTAAAACCTCCTTTACAACGGGCATGGTTTCATTATACTCGTCAAAAATCAAAGGCCAGAAATAAGAAGAGGGCCAATGTGGAACAATGATAGTACCTCTCCATTTAGTTCCAATCAAATGTAAAATGCATTTACCAATCAATGAAATGGGGGGTACTAGCCAATTGTTATCCCTTTCCCATGAAAAACTAAAACAGTCTACACCCTCTGTACCAGGATTCCAAAATAACGAATTGAATCGTTCTAACTTGGTATTTTTAAAATTCGCAAACCGGTCAATGTCAAATGGACCCCAAATACTGGTCATAAATTCAAAAAACTCATCTGTTATCCCCCAGTCTTCGTAATCAATAATTTTGCTTAAATAATCTGCTCTGAAATTTTTATTTCTGGGTATCCATTGAGCGTCGATTGAAATACCGTTAGACAGACAAATCTGAAAAATGCCCAATGAAATTTCTTGTAAATCACTTTTCATACTCCCACTTTCAATGATTTTTACACAGTTTTGATTATCAGTAAACCATTTCACAGTTTTTCCACAAAGAACTTTGTGAAACGATAATAAACCAAGCTCTATAGCCTTTAATTCTCTCCATGTAGAACTCTTTTCTTTTTCAAACTCGCTCCATCCAATGTGAAAAACCTTTTGATCCAACTCTACTGTATGTGCTGCTCCAGCAACATCACTAGCGTCTGAAAAAATCATGACATGCTTTCTTGAATAATTCTGAAGGCTTTTGCAGTTATATTTTCTAACGTTCTTTTTCCAAAAATACATTTCAGGTAATATTGAATCTAAGATAACATGATCTAACTTTTTATCCCAAGAAACCCTATTCTCTATAGCAACGTGGCAAGCACGACTCATAAGTCTAACAACATTTCCCATAACCGGTAACATTGAAATAATTTTTCACGTAAACTGTGCTACAATTCTTGCAGAAACATTAGGCAATGCATTCAAAACTCTTTCTAAACAATTTTCTAAGTCTACTATTCTCCGTTCTGGTACTCGTAAACTAAAATCTAAAGATCTCCATACCAGTCCAAGCCATTCAATTTCTTGTACAGGGCTGAAAATTGATTTCTTCTCGTTTTTGAAAAAACCTGCTGAAACTAAAGACTGTTTAATAAATCCTGTAGCTGAAATACATTTTGCCTCGGACATAGCCAGAATAAGACCGTCATCTAGGTATAGAACTACTTTTAAATTGTTTTTTCTCCAATAATTTACTAATGGCCTCAAACACTTTGTAAAAACATATGGAGCTGAAGTTAGACCAAATGGTAAGACAGTGAAACAAAAATAATTACCCTTCCATGAAAAACCTAAATATTGCTGAAAACAAGGATCGATATCTATGTGATGATATCCCGACTGCAAATCAAATTTTGTCATAAAACAGTTTATTTTGAAATATTGTATAGCGATTTTCCAATCTTCAAATTTTACTTTTTCTTTCCGTACGAAATTATTCAAGAAACTAAGATCTAAAATAAGCCTTTTCTTTTCGTGGTTTTCTGCTACGCTCAGTGGATTGATCATATATGGTTTTTCATGTAACTGAATTACTCTACCTGAGTCTATCAGATTCTGAACTGCTCCTGAAACAAAATCTTCATTCAACATAGCTGATTTATTATTCTCGAAATGCTTTGAAGGGGGGTGAATTTCAAAATCAAGAGAATATCCATTTTGAATTATAGAAAAAAACCGAATCATAAGCATCTATTTCTTTCCAAAACTGAAGATTATGAAACAAACTTTTCTTGACTCTACCTTTTATTTGATTACATTTTCTATCATAAGAAATCAAAATTTCCTTGATACTTTTTGAAATATCGAGAATACCAGACCAGCTTGGACTATAACAATACTTATCATCATTGACCGCCTGATGTGCTTGCTCCTGCAGACCCTGTGGTGGATTGCGTGTAATTGAGGGGGCAGCGACTTTTCCAGTGTCCGGTCTTAAAACATCTGTGACACAAGTCTGAAGGCTGTGGGGTTCTCCTTGAACCCCCAAAGGCACGAAAGGGCTGACTGAGTAGAGGATAACCACCAAAACTACCAGAGGAAAGCTGCGCCGGGGACCCCGCCGCTGCTGACACCAGACGGCTGTACGGTGTAGGACGTCCCCTGCCTCGGAACTTCTGCCGCATGGCCCGTGACTCCGCACTTCGTATCTTTTTTTCGTCATCAGAGTCGTCTGCATAATCGTTTTGTTCATATTCCCTTACGGTCTTCCAACCAGCTGGACTATTATCTGCAATTCTTATGAGTTTATTACGTTTCTGCAATTTTTCTTTAAAGAGATTAATGACGGATACAGCCGAACTGTCTTTAAGGATGATAGACAGATTTTCTAGGTCTTCAATTATTTCTTCGTTAAAAGTGTACTGAATTCTATTGCCTTCACCCTGAATACGTGTACTTTTACTTTCTTTAATCTTCTTTGACAGATTTTAGCGTTAACTTTCTGCTCGGTCAGAAGTTTTTCAGATAGAGAAGCAAATTGAGAGTCAATGACGCTTTTGAATAAACTTACTGCATCGGCCAAGTCATTCACATTACTAGTATTCCCAAGAGTAGACTGAACCTCAGGAGCCCTTGAAACTTGTTGAGAGCGGCCTTGAGTTGGTGTTTCGTATGAAAGATTCAGCTCTGTGTCCTCGTGCTCGGACATTGTAACATGGATAAAACGTGGAATGATTTAGAATCTGAGCCTTCGAATGGCACATTTACACAATACTCGCCCTTCAATAACATCTCTACTCATGTGTACTTGTTACTATATAAATAGCCAATCATTGTATAAATCCAACACCCGTATCAAAACAAACCCGCCTACTTTCCCACGGGTACAAATAATGCTTAGCACCCATGATAAATACATTTATTTATTAATTCCTTCAGAATACAAAAATTATGGCAAAGAAATATGACATTAAATCTGTTTCTTTTTCAATGTGAAAATTTATGTTTTTAATCAAACTGTTACATTTCCTTTACTTTATTTTGTGTATTCTGCCTAATCTTTTAAAAATACCACATTAAAACAAGAGAAATAACTCTGTACTGAAATCCTGTATAAAGTTGTCACATCTCAAAGTTTTGGAAAATACCTGACTTGAACATAAAACTTTTTTTGATGTTGTCTTTAAAATAATTTATTTGATTAATGAAAACTTAAAAATATATTAGTTCTACCAAGTGTATAGAGTTTAGCTATAGTGCAAGTTCTTACTCTGTAAGTTCTACCCAGTGTATAGATTTGTCAAATAAACTAACATTACTGAGTTAATTCGTTAGCTATAGTGCAAGGTCCTACTCTATAAGTTCTACTCGGTGTATAGATTTGTATATTATTTTTAATGTTACTACATTAACTAACTTTATTGTGAGTACTTACACTGTAACTGCTATCCCCGATTTCTTCCCTGGTTCTGTGTATCAGTCGGCCATTTACATACAACATGTTAGCTGCCTTATCATTGTCAAGTTTCAAAATATGATAACTGTACTGTGCCACTTGCTTGATTTGCTATGAAAAAAAAAACATTTAATTTTCATGTCATCAAAAATATATAATCAACAGTTTAGTATTCTAAATCATAGCAAATGTAAACTTCCTGAATATATCATTATATTCTATCATTTCACTTTATGATTAATTCCTTGTGAGAAATGGGAATACAGTAAAACACACTTATAGCGAACACACTTATAATGAATTGATGCTTACAGTGAAGTGATTGTCATTCCCTGTGAGTTTAAAACATATTGTAAACTTAAAGAATATAACGTATTACGCTTATAATGAAGCAAAATTGTCCGTCCCTGGCACTTCCTTATAAGCATGTTTTACTGTACTGAGATTGTGTGCAAAATTATTCTAATCCAATGTAAAATATTAACTTGCTGTATCACATAGCGATGGGACATCGGTTAATTTTCATAATCGATCATCGGTTGGAATCGGTTACTGCTTCCGATGCAAGGGTGAAATGATACACCTCCTTCACGGTTTGATACGTATTGTATAATTTTGTCTCGGTTCGGTAATTTTCGATACGATATATTTTGATAGAAGGAAACAAATTCATATTGTTTTATGCTTTCTTTTTCTAAATCTAGTCACATATTTTACGAATTTTATTTGCAAATTGACTAGAAGAAATTGATAAAAATTATTTGACTGTCAAAAATTATTTTACAAGCTATCAGTCATCAAAAATTTACGTTTTCTATACTTATTTATATTAAGTAACGTGTTTTACCTTATGCCAAACCCGACTGAATAATGATCCCGACCGAAAAATGAAAAGAACTGAAAATTAGAGATTTTGCACCGTGTATCAAACCGAGAAAAATTACCGCGGTGAATCGATACCGCAGTGAACTGTTTCACTCCTACAATTTTACCAATTAAAATCGGATTTCATAGTTTTGTATACAAAAAACAGACTTTTACAATTATTTCATACTATTTCTTTAACATGAATATATAAAATGTATTATATATTATTTTCTTTGTTGTTTTGCTTCTTTTACACTTTCTAGGCCTAAAAAAAATTATGTTTGTTTGTATCCTGTAACATTCCCAAAAAATCAATGGTCGGTAGGTCGGGATTTTTCTGCTTATGAATAATAGGGTCAATCATCCTAGGACTGAATTATCCAGATGTTATATTTACAGTGGACACCCAATATGGCTGCCTAGCGGCAGAAAACGAGCTTCAAAAAGTTGTGGGGGGAATTAATTATTCTTTAGATTTAAGCTAAATGTTGACTAAGTTGCATATTTTATATCTCAAATAAAAGATACAATTAATATTTTTGAATAAAAAGAATCAGCTGATTGATCAAACCAAAGAGCAAACACAGATTTGAGAGAAAAAAAATCCAACCAGGAGTAAACTGAAGGGGTCGGTCGGGTTACAGGAAACAAACATAATTTTTTAGGCCCTATATGTGCACCTCTCGGTTCTTAATCACCTCTGCTTCATGCTAGTTGGCTAGTATCAGATGCAAACACCATTATCTTTCATTAAGAAGAATTCAATTTTAAACCAGAAATGGATAATTCTGGAATGTATTGTACTAGAAGTATGTTTCCAATGATCAATTATGAAAAATTATAATCGATCATTGGAATCGGTAGCATTTTTTCGTCGACAATCGATGTTTTCTGATTATCGGTACAACACTAGTATCACATACTTCTTGATAATATTACAACTAATTATTTATATGAAATTCAAATGTGTATGGTATGCGTCAGAGAAAAATAAGTAATCCATTAAGAAACATGTTGGACATTTACGATATTTACCTGCATAACTCTGTTCGCATTCTGACTGTTACCCACGGCAATGATGTCCTTCCCTGCCATGGACACCAGAGATTTCAGCTGGACCTGCCCATCAATTCGGACAGGGGTTACATTGTATTCTGGGAAAGCATCCGCAACAGCTGATGCTCCCCGCTCATTTGTTCTTCTTCCCTGTCCCAGGCCAACAAAAATTTCTTTCCCTGAAACAAAATCAAAATTCATGAATTATAATGTTGTGATAATCAGCATGATTATCAGTCAAACATACATACCTGTAACATATAAAATCAGAATGGGGGAAAAATTCTTATGTTGAAGAATTAAATTGGTTTAAAGATTAAAGACACCAAAATCAAAACATTAAGTTTAAGTTAAATGAAGTTAAATGAAGACTGTCAGTTTGAATAGTTCATAGTTCAGTTTTGCGGATCTGTGTTTTAGTCATGGTTGGTGACACTTAACTGTGAATAAAAGGTAACACAGACTTACCTGTGAACAGTACATCTCCTCCTTCCACAATGGCATCAGGGTCAACAATCTCCACAATACGAAATTTCAGATCTTTCAGTACTTTACGAATCTCTGCAACCTGGAATTAAATAAACAAGAATATTTCTGATCACATCAGAGGGAACAAAGATTAAGAAGATATGAGGCACATTGATTCATAATACACTACTGTAACAGAGACATGTAAGTGTCTCCGCTTGGGATAGAACCCAGGACCTCTGGCATTAGTCCAGTGCTCTACCGATTGAGCTAAAGGGTTAATCCACTAGTCCAAGCTAGTAGGATGCTATGTATCTTACACTACCATATTGTCCCTCTCCAGAGAATGAGATGTCCTCATCTCTTTTGGAGTGCCGATGCCTGTGGGGTGAAGATCTGAGGGCAATCACTCTCACCCGCCAGAGAATACCCCGGTCCCAACGTGGGCATCAAATGTAACAGAGACATGTACAGGTCCAGCACAATACCCTGATAAAGGTATATAGCTTGATAAATATTATCAAGGTATTACACATATCTTGATCAAGGTATTTTATGTAATGAAAATACAAAAAAAAATCTTAAAAAATTAAATTTAAAAGTCGAATTATGAGTTGTGGTCAGTGTATTCACTCGTGCATGAAGAGTACTCAGGTATAAAAAAGGACAGCATAAAAGAACGTCTCCTCACACGACATGCTTTTTTACCGATTTCTTTGTGTTTGAGTACTTTACATGCATGAGTGAATTTACTGACAACAAATCAGAACTCGACTTTCAGTATTTATTTTTTTAGAATTTTTTTTTGTATTTTCATTACATAAAATACCTTGATCAAAGTATTTGTAATACCTTGATAAAGCTATATAGCTTTATCAAGCTATATACCTTTATCAGGGTATTGTGCTGGACCTGATGTAAGTGCCTCCACTTGGGATTGAACCCTGGACCTCTGGCATTTGTCCAATGACCAATGCTCAACCGATTGAGCGAAAGGGTTAACCCGCTAGTCCAAGCTAGTAGGATGCTGTGTATCTTACACTACCACACTACGACAATGTAAACAAGGCTTGTTGTAGGCCTATGACCAATACTTTTGGAAATATGAACTCTTGACATTCATTAGATCAATATTCACCAAATATTTTGTTAATCAAACCTAAACATTGAAATAGTTTTGTTTTCAGTAATTCATCATAAATTTGTTAAGCAGCAACTCGCTTACACTGATCAAACTATAGTCATTCTTCATGAGTCATCGAAAAGTATGATCGTGTCACACGCGTCACCCCCACCCCTTTTTCCACCTCTTTTAAATTCAGATTCTATGAAGTGACTTACCTCTCCCTGACGTGTAGTTTGTCCTAGCCTAGTGATAAGGGCTGTAGCACCGATTACGACAGCGGAATCGTCCACAAAACAGCACTCGGGGTAGTCCTCTTCCTCTTGAAGTTCGATAACTCGTACCTCGCATTTTTTAAGCGTCTCGATCAGTTGTCGATGCTCTTCTCTCGCCTTTTCTACGTCAATCTCATTCTCTTTTTCATATTTATTTGAGTACTGCTGACCACTGTATTTAAAACTGTTCGGAATTCTTCTTACAATCGCATAGTTATAATTAAACGCCGACGTCGTTACTTGTTGAAGCTCACCTTGTTCTTTTCCCCACACAAACAGGAAGTGAACGGGAAGTGACTAAAAAATGCAAACAATCTGTACTTAACGTTGCGTCATTGATCCGGAGGGCATCGCAATAATGTGTTTTGACAAATACCTGTGATATACAGATTACAGATTAATATGTTTTACGGTGTAACCGTTGGGGCGAGCGCAGTTGTACCATCAAAAAGCTATAGCCTAGC